TTTTTTTTACAATCCGGATGGGAGGTCGCGGATTGGGTTGCTATCGGCTGGAATACGAGGTCGGTAGGGGTATATAGTAATAAAGAACAAGGATAGGAGGAGGAGAGGAGAGGAGAGGAGAGGAGAGGAGAGGAGAGGAGAGGAGAGGAGAGGAGAGGAGAGGAGAGGAGAGGAGAGGAGAGGAGAGGAGAGGAGAGGAGAGGAGAGGAGAGGAGAGGAGAGAGAGAGAGAGGAGAGGAGAGGAACGCGGGGACCGTCTCTTCAAAACGAAGACCCAACACCACAGGATGGTTGGGGAAAAACAATTCGGGGGAGCCACGCTGGGTATATATCTACATATATATATGTTGATATATATCAAACAAACAAACAAACAAACAAACAAACAAACAAACAAACAAACAAGCAAGCAAGCAAGCAAGCAAGGAAACAAACAAACAAACGAACAAACAAACAAACAAAATACACGCGACATTGGATGTCTGAGCACACATGCGGAGGCCCTGACTGTTCGAACATGGACGGACCGGGCGCTGGAAGGACGCCTGACCACATGCGCATCCAGCTCTCGCCAGGGCCAGCCGCGTCAGGTCTAACTATTCAGCTTCATGGTGGCCAAGTGGGGGTGCGCGAAGCAGCTCACGCAGCTGGCTTTTCCGCCGCCCCTCCGGCGCCAGGAGCGCCCATGCGTCCAGGGACGCGCCAGGCGGCGGAGCGGAAACCGGCTGCAATGCAGCAGAGTCCCCAAAAATCCGCACCCCCGTCGTCCGGCATGGACCCGAGCTCTGGACCCCATGGCTGGGACCGGCCAGGTCTGGGTGCCGGGGGGGCGCGAAACCTGGTGGCAGCGGGAGGGCCCAAACTGGAGGCCCCTGCTGGGAACTTCGAGGGTGGACGGGACCCCCAGGAGGAGGAGGAGGAGGAGGAGGAGGAGGAGGAGGAGGAGGAGGAGGAGCAGGAGGAGGAGGAGGAGGAGGAGGAGGTGGAGGAGGTGGAGGAGGAGGAGGAGGAGTGGAGGAGGAGGAGGAGGAGGAGGAGGAGGGGGCCCCATCTTGGGCCAAGCTCATTGAGGAGGATCTACTGTGGCTGGCGGACATGGTAGACCTCCCAAGCTCGCTCAGACCGATTCCCCCAACTGCAGGTTGGATATATTTCATTAGACAGTCTCGCAGGAAGTGGACAGGACTCGTCAAGGCAGCGCAGGCACACGCATCTAGACAGCACCTTGATAGTCTGGCGCACAGTGCATGGCACGAACGACTTGTGCATGTGACGCGTGATGTTGCAGCCCCAGACCAACCCTTCCTTTCCTCCCCGCCTCTCCCAATTGTCTTTCCATGTTGGGACTGCGATGCCGTCTTGACCACTGCCGCATCGTGGGCAGCTCACAGGTCGAGGGACCACCCACAGCTAGACACGGCGAGATGGTATTGTGCAGGATCCACTTGCCAGGCATGTGGCAAGAATTTCCGTTCACGCCTCAGGCTCCTAAGGCACGTGAGGCATGGATCCTCGAAGTGTTTAGGCCTTCTGTGCACATACACACGCAGGCTCACGACAGAGGAGCTAGCAGCTGAAGAAGCCAATGACACGACAGAATCTAAGCAGCTCCGTAATTCAGGTTTGTACCCAGAGATCGCCAAGGCCCCCCCTTCAGGATTATCGGCCCCTGCCTCCTTGGAGCTCCCTCCTCCCCCGTCCTCAAAGTTACGTACAGGGGAGTGCAGGCCAGCGATCCAGTCATACAAGTGCCTAGGTTCCCACAGAGTAGGGCATGCTATTACATATACATTGTCCCTTTTTCGCGACACGCACAGGATATCCCGCACTTCTTAACTGCAAGGCAGAACGCATCGGGAACCCACTTTCCAGTCCTGTGCGTAGACATTTCAGAGCAAAGGTATAGGACTAAGGGGCAGCTATTATAGGACCATGCTACCTCCACCTTCCTCTCCCTCCTGCGTGACGGTCGTGTTGTGGGTGTTGTGGCGTTCCTCAATCTCGACAGCTGGTCCCATGACAGAGCTCAGCCCACGAATCGCCGCAAGATTTTGAGATCTAAACTCGTGCCTTGGGGTCTCGCAACGAGCAATGCTAGAGACTGGGAGCTAGTCAAAGTAGACAACTCGCACCTGAGAGCGGTGCTACTCATATGTTGGCAGGCAGCTCTTATAGGTACCAGTGTGTTGTTGCATCTTCCATCTCCCCCTCTGCGTTCATCAGCCCCTCTCGCCTGCCCGTGGGAGCTTCCAGAGTTAAAGTTTCTGGCATCTCTCCGAGGAAACGCAGGCTGTTTCGAGTCAGCTCGGGTGCATATTGACATGTGCACCCTCGGCTCATCGGCGCAACACCCATCCCATTTCCTAGCCCTCAATCTCCGTGCCTTTCCTGAATCTCTCAATGTTCTCATGGGAAGAGGCCGGTGCCGACACGCAGCAGGCCACATTGCAGCAGGTGAGTGCTTCCATCCTCCTCCGAGATTCTGTGCTCTAGCCGCAGATGCGTTGTTCTCTCGTGCTGTATCCGAGGCCTCGTTACAGGGAGAGGTCCCCGAGTCGCTGCAGCCTTTTACGCTGCAGACATAATGGGAGGGCTGGGTAGGGTCACGTCAGGATAGGCGGGGTCACTTCTTGATGCTCCGCTTCAACCAGGCCCGTGCTCTCTTGCATGTTCAGACACTGCGGTCCGCCTCAATGGGAGTGAAGTAGTAGTAGTAGTAGGGGGCCCCAGCAGAACACACCCTTTCCAGTGAGAACTTCCCAGGGGCAGGCCCTGCGGGCGCAGGCCCGCAAGGACTGCAGCCGCAGCGCCCGCTCGGGAGCTGACAAAGGGCAATTCGATGATCGACTTGGCAGGACACGGGTTCTACGGTTAGGTCGGGCCTGTCCCCCATACAGGGGGATTTTGGGCGAAAAATTAAAAATACCCCAAAAATACCCCCAAATGGCCAAAAAATGCTCATAAAATCGTCCCCAGACTATTGTTTGACTATTTTTGAACATTCCCCCTGTAGAGGGACAGGCTCGACTTAATTCTACGGTGAGGGCATCGGTAAGTCAGAGGGGGCGGCCCTCCTCAGAGGACTCGGAAGGCCTCCGGGCTTCTGAGAAGTTGTCTGAGCCTTCTCCGAAGACAGAGGCGGCTTCTCAAAGGCGCGAGGGCACCTGAGCCTCCTGGGCACACTCCTTTCGGCGGCGAGCGAGGGGGGGAAGTGAGAAGGAGAAGGCCTTCTCAGGAGGCTCGGAAGTCCCCTGGCCTTCTGAGAAGTTTTCAAGCCTTCCCCGAAGACAAAAACAAATCTCTGAAGGCGCGAGTGCTTTTGAGAAGTCCCGCCGCCTTCTGAGAGGGCCTTCTCCTTATCACTTCCCCCCCTCGCTCGCCACCGATCCTTGACCAGCACCCTCACTGCATCAACCTCCGATGTTCCTAGCGAGGGCAACCCCTGGCTGGAGGCCCAAGCTGAAGGAGGGAAGCAAAAGGGCTGCGGCGCGCCGCGACTCGACCTCGCGACGAGCCCCGAGGACCAGGCCTGCTCCCCTCGGCCGCACGCAGGATCGATCCTATGGCCTGACCGGTCTACAGCCATCGTGCCACCATCAGGCACGCAGATTAGGAAACGAAGTGGCCTTTCTGGCCACGGCAGGCCCAGGCCACAAAGAAGTTCAACGACACAAAGCCAGGGAACGGCCCGAACGCCCGAGCCCTGCCTTGGCCCAGAGCGGGCCTCATTTCGGCGTCTTGACTGCACTCTGGCACAGGCTCGCTCCGCTTCGCCCTCACCGGGCTCCCTCCCGGGCGGCATCCGGGCCGACCCAGCCCCATGGCCCCTCAGTAGCCCTTGGCCGTTTCTGTGCGCACAGCTCCCACGAGCTGCCTCCCCACCCTCCGAGCGGCGAGCCCGGGGGGAAGCGGGTGGGAGAGGCCAGGCCTTCTCGGAAGTCGGCGAGGCTCCTCTCAGAGGCCCCCAGCCCTCCGAGAAGCCTTCTGAGCCCTCTCCGGGGAGGGGCAGCTCTCCGGCCTTCCGGCCCTGCCGAGAAGTCCTCCGGCCTTCTGAGAAGCCGCCTCCCCCCGAGGAAGGCACAGAGATCTGCTCAGAAGGCCGGGGGCTTTCTGAGCCGCCTGGGAAGGCCCGGGGCCCTTCAGTACGATGCAGGCGGCGCAGCGAGGGCCGACGCAGGCTGCGCGCCATCGGCGGAGCCGAACGGGATAAACACACTCTTGGGCTACAGTCGGGCTTGATCGGCGAGGACACGCGACAGGACACAAGAGCTTTCTGAGGGCCACACTACCATAAGAATGCAGATGGCATGGGTCGCGAAACACAGGACACACGGGTACCCTTGATTTGGCAGGGCCGACCTACTAATCAGCCTTGACTGCAACGCACGTCCCGAGGACCATCGAAAGGCCCGCATCACTTTCCCTGGGCCCGTCGCCGGTTCCCCCCCTTTCACTGGACCCTCCTCCTCAAGCGAGGCAGCCAACGCGAAGCCAGAGCGAGATTGAGCAACGTCGAGAAAGTGAAGGCCCTTCCCTCTGGTACCTTCCCTTTGATCCCTTCCCAGCATCAGCCTCGACCGTAAACCCGTCCTGAGGACCATCGAAAGGCCCGCAGCCCTCTGTCTTCCAGACTGGGCGCGCCGCCGATGCAGGTGGCCCCAGGCGCGTGGCCCGCCGATCCCCGCGCGCGATGCGGCAGCGGCATCCAGCCTGCTGGCGCTCGGCCCCCCAACGCGCGCACGCAGACCCGCGCCTGGACGGCGCACCGACAAAACTGGCCTGGCTTGCCCCCCCCACCCCGCCGCCCGAAAGCCGCGCGAACAAAAGTACAACTCTGGAGAAGCTCGGTCAGGCTTCGGGGGCATAGCTCGGCGGTTCTGAAGGATGTATCGGGCGTCGCGGCCGCTCCAAAGCGCCCCACGCCCTGAGAACGTTCCGGAACGCTCTGGAGCGATTCATCCCGATCCTAGCCACACCCGATTCCCCCCCCGGCGGAGAGCCACTCGTTCTTCTCCGGCCCAGCGTACTCGGTGCCGCTCCAGGTGGACATCGGCGCTGGAGCCTCTGTTGGAGGCTTGGAAATTCGCACCAACACCAACTCAGAGAGTCGCATCCACCAGGGAAGGGTGATCCTGGATTCTGGTCCTTGTGGTAACATCTCGGCCACCCAGGAAGCCCGACTGTTACCACCATCACCGAGAGATCGGGACCATCTTTCCGCGGTGGGGGCAACCACCGATCTCGGTGCTGGTGCCAGCTTCTGGGCCTCCGATTCTGGGATGGCGGGGAGCCCAGCTGCTCCCCGCGAGGCTACCACCGCGCCGAGGCCGAGGGCCTCCCTTGAGCCAGGGCGGCCGCAGCCGGGCTATCTGCAGCAAAGGCTGCAGTGAGAGGAGGGCCTGCCGAGACAAAGGGAGGCTTCCCCTGGCGTTTTCCCGTCCACCCCGGATCTCTGAGGAGACAGTTTGCTCAATCCTGGCGTGTTTCCTCGATTTCGGCATCCAGGGGCCGGCCTCGCGCCCGGGACCATCAAGATGAGTTCAGGGGCCGCGGATCCCCCCCGGCTCGCTCTGGGCGCCAGGGAGAGGGGGCCCGCGCCGATCCCAGCCAGACATCCGCGCGGACCTCCGAAAGCGTATACAGATTTTTCTTCTGCAAGACAAGGAAGAGAGGGCGGAGGAGCGGAAGAAGGGCAGCGTGCGGGGGGGGGGGGGGAACAGCTCCTGGTCTCTGGAAGCATCTCGCTGCTCTGCGGCCCCTTCAACGTCAAGCAAGTAGGCGTTGTTTCTTCTGGGCTACTGCATTTGGCTGGAGGGTGGGGGAGGGGGGGGGGGTCTGGGCCGATGCTTCGTCGATCTGCTTCTACCAGTCGCGCAAGCGGACTGGGGGGGGAGGGGTCCTGACAAGTCGCCAAAAGCAGCCGCCAAAGGCAGCCAAGATCTGGTCTATGGAGCGATGGTGAGGGAGGGGAGCCAGGTGCCCGCACCGATCGCCGAACCAATGACTACAATAATGGCGACCTAAGGGCTCCATCACTGAGCTCTGCTTTTGCTCGTTCGCTCTTCCAGGACTTGGTACAGGAGCAGGGAGGACAGAGAGGACGGAGCGGCAGTGGATCAGGCGTGGCCCACACACTCCAGGCTGCACTCGCGCACGGCACACTCCAAGACGAACTCCCGGGCCCCCGCGAGGGAATGATGCCAGCACACAACTACGAGTAAGATCGAGCATCCAGTGCCTCGGTGATTACCGTACGGGTCACATACGTCCACACACCGCTTGAGCCAGAGTGTTCTAAACGCTCCTGCATTACGTAGTGCCGCCTTAGACGCCGTCCTGTGCAAATATGTTGTGTTTATGCCAGGCATCGAACGAGGAAGAGCGGACTCACCTCCCTCTCACAACACGCCGACATTGAACACGCGGGTTTATGGGGTTGAAGCCAGGCAATGAGGAGAGGGGAGAAACACATGCACGGCGTAACTCACGCAAGCACACGCGCACACACTTCTTGTATCGGTAGACATCGTCATTAGCTTTGGGAACGTAGATAAACTATGTAAGATTTTTGTTCGTGTATGTTTGCAGTTCAGGCTGCTGCGGCGGCTTTCGTTCTCGCAATTCTGGAGGCCCTCCGCGTCTTAGCTGTGAGACTTGGCCGTTCGTTATGTCGGCTTACCCACTGTGCGTCAGCGAGCTAGAATGCACGGAACATACGGACGTTCAACCAAGAACGCACGTGAACCACACGCACTTGGCTTGAAAACTGTGTGCCCAAGAATCGCTGGGATTCTTGAGTACACTTGTCTTGAAACAGTTTGACCGCTTTCGGCGCTGCCTCAGCACATCGTGTTTTGCACCAGTGTTCTGCGAATCAGCACTTGGTACTCATCGAGCCCTGCCGGGGGGGTCTCGGCCTCGTTGGGGCCTCTGCCGTGGGGCCCCAGGAAAGCGTATTGGGTCCTCTTGGGGCGCCTTGGGGCCCTGTTGGGCTGTCTTGGGGCCGTGGGGTGCCGCGTCGTCGGGCACGACGGTAACGGAGTTCACGGCGACGATCCACGTTGACGTCGTCGCAACTGTCACTGACATCCGCCGATGTGATTTTTCAATCCGCGGCCCCAGAGGTCCCGACCCCTTCTCTCGATGTAGTTTTTCGCCCAGATTAATTTCTGATGATCCCCGAGCCCAGTAGCGGACCACAAAGGCCCAAAGCGAGAACATACCAGGACTGAACAGAAACACATCGTTGCAAAATCTTCTGGCTTTCGGATCATAACTCGGGCATCTGGCGGCCGTTCGGGACGATCCAGGCACCCCCGCAACGCTCTCGGCGAGGCGCAGTCGCTGGAGGGCACCCCGTGGCTCGAAAGCCGACGAGAAACTACGCAAACCTCTCAAAATCTCGAACCTCGAACCTCGGAGATCTGAGCACCTCGAGCCTCGAAGCGCCCGTCGCCGTCTTCGCCGTCGGCGCGCTGGGCGGCCCGCGCGCCTCCGGCGGGCCGCAGCCGGCCGCCGCGCCGCCAGGCGCGGCAGTGGCGGGGCCGTCGGGCGGCTCCTGGGCGGCCCTGCCGCGCTCAGGGGCGGCACGGCTGGAGTCGCGGGTGCCGACCTCGGCGGGAGGCCGCGGGGCGCCGAGGGCCACCGAGGGATGCCGTGGGGCACCCAGGGCCTCCTCCCTCCCTGCTGCCTCCCTCCCTGCTGCCTCCCCCCCTGCTGCCTCCTCCTCCCTCCCTTTTCCCTACGTCCTCCTCCTCCTCCTCCTCTTCCTCCTCCACTTCCTCCTCCTTCTCCCCCTGCCCGCTCCGCGCAGCGTCGGTCACCCTTTCTCTGCATTCCGCCCAGATCCCGCTCGCCCGCGTGGCATCGCCGCCTCCGCAGGGCGCCAGCGCGCCGCGGCCATCCTGGTTGGACACCACGGCGAGGCCATGCCGGTCTCGGGCGCCCCCTGGCAAGGCGGCTCCGCCAGCGTTGGAGGCGGTTCCTCGGGCGGCGGCCCATCTCATGGCAGCGGTGGCGGCACCAGCGGCAGTCGCGCCACCTGGGCATGCCTGGCGACCAGGCAGTGCGGATTCACCGCCAACTTCGAGGACCAGGCGACGTGCTGTCGTTGCGGGCGTGATCGCCAAGGTCGGGCTCCTGATCCTGGAGCTCCTCGCGCTGCCGGCGGCCGCACGCCCTCGCGGCCCAGATCTCGGGGCAAGCCTCGCGGCGGAGCGCCTCCCGCGGACGGCTCCGCGCCCGCCTCGGCCAAGGCCGACGGCGCCGTCGATGGCGAGGTGGAGCGCTGCAAGAAGGCCCTTGCCCCCTTACGCAGGCTGCGCTATGACGAGGATTCCCCCATCATCGCGCTGACCAAGCAGGACGTCGCGAAGGCGGAGGCCGCGGCGCGCGCAGCCCTGCGCCCCGAGGACGCGCTGCGCATCTCCCTGGACCGCTTGCAGGGCAAGGGGGCGGAGCACGCCAGGCTGCTCAAGACCGTCGAAGACCTGGACATCAGGGTTACGGCGGCGCGCCAGCAGCGGGACACCGCGGCCTCGGAGATCGCCCAGATTGAGGACGTGGACGAGGCGCGCCGCGCGCTGGCCAGGCCCCCGCCTGAGCCCGCGACGCCGCCCTCGGACCTCCCGGCGCTGGCGGCTCAGCTGCAAGGCCTGCGCGGGGTGCTTCAGCAGGCGTCGGGCGGTGTCGCGGAGCAGCGCGCGGCCCAGCTGGTCCACTTGCTCACCTCGCACGTGGCCCCCATGGCGGGCGCGGTCGCCTCTTCGCAGGCCGCCCCAGCCGCGGGCGCGTCGGCAGCGGGGGAGCCCGCCGCCCCACAGCAAGCGGCGATGGCGCGCGAGGACGTCGACACGGGCTCGGCGACGGCGGGCAACCACGGGGCGTTTCGCCCAGCACTGCCCCCAGATGGTGGCGGAGACGCCGCGGTCGCCAGCGGGGTTTGCGCAGTCTGCACTGGCTCAGCCTGGCTAGGAGGCGAGCGCCGCAGAAGGCTCGCAAGCACAACATCCAGCTCGCCTCCGTCCACGGCTCACGCTGGAACACCTTCGAGGACTATCCCGGCCAGGTCGCGCAGGACGTTCTGGCGGCGGCGGCCCGGGAGTTGCGCCTCGACGGCGGGGGCCTCGCGGCGGCGACAACCTGGGCGGCGGCCAGAGGCTGGAAGGCCTGCATCAATCTCGCCGCGCCGCCGCCCCGAGTCGAGGCAGCCCAGCGCGGAAGCCGGCCTGTTCGTTCGCAGTTTTGCTAGAACGCGTCTGCTGGACAGTTCACCGGGGACCAAGGGATGCGAAGTCATTCCATCGTGGGCAGCCGCAGCGCATGCCGATCTCGCCATTCCAGAGGGAATGATCATCGGCACAATGTAGCTCGAGCGCTCGCCGTCGCAACTCACCGCTAACATTCAGAGAACGTTGAAAGTCGCTGATTTGATGACATTCTGCCAAGCCTTTCGCGATCGCATGGGGACTGGAACGCAACTCCAGCCACCCTCGATGAACCAGGTATCCTCTAGCATTTTCCAGCCCAGCGTGCGGTGCCTCGTGGGGAAGGCACGCGTCGCTCAGCCAGCGGAAAATATCGCCCGGTCGACCATTGGCTCGTCTCGCCACCCTTGCACGCTGCCTGTCTTGTCCCGCGAGCCGCGCAGGACTGGCCGGCTCGTATTAATTGCCCCATCTTGTTTTCTTTGCATGCTCATCCTCGTTCTTTGAAGCAGCTCTCCCCGGCGGCACCCAAGGCCTTTCCTCGCGCCCCCCCCCCACACCCCCTGCCCGCGCAGGCTGCCACCCACTGGAGGGACCCCCAGAGCCCCAACCCTATGTGCAGCTGGTTGAGGATGACCTCGGATGGGAATCCCCTCGGACACTAGTCAGCCTGCCCCTCGGTTGGATGCGTCGCACGGTTCGTTCGTTCGCACGGTGGAAGCTGACCTGCGTCATTTTTATCAGGCGCAGCGGCCTGAGCAGTTTAGAGGGGGGGGCTAGGAACCCAGATACGTCTGGAAGCCAGTGGCAGGGATCAACACCAAGGGGCGCCCTGCCAGCATCC